TCTTGCCACATGCACCAGGAGGAACCCAGGATCCACTGCAGCAGCGTAGGGTCTGACAATGAGTCCAAGGATTTCACCCCAATACCTAATGGCAATCAGGGTGCCATTGTCTAGCATGTAGAGGTCTGTGCATCCCTCCATGGATATACCACCAAAACAGTCATGATGAACGATGTTACAAGCAGCATACCACTCTCCACGGCTTCTCCAGACCCTTTCATGTCTGTCACATGTGCCCAGGATGAACCTGCTCTCATCTGTGAAAAGCACAGGGCACCACTGGCGGACATGCCAATTCTGGTGTTCAATGGCAAATTCCAATTGATCTCTATAGTGCTGGGCAGTGAGCACAGAGCCCCACTAGAGGATGTTGGGTGCTCAGGCCACCCTCATGAAGTCTATTTATGATTGTTTGGTCAGATACATTCACACCAGTGGCCTGCTGGAGGTCATTTTATAGGGCTCTGGCAGTGCTCATCCCCTTCCTCCTTGCACAAAGGAGCAGATACCAGTCCTGCTGATGTGTTAAGGACCTTCTATGTCCCTGTCCAGCTCTCATAGAGTAACTGCCTGTCTCCTGGAATCTCCTCCATGCTCTTGAGACTGTGCTGGGAAACACAGCAAACCTTCTGGCAATGGCACGTACTGATGTGCCATCCTGAAAGAGCTGGACTGCCTGAGAAACCTCTGTAGGGTCCAAGTATAGCCCCATGCTACCAGTAGTGACACTGACCCTAGCTAAATGCAAAACTAATGAAAAATAGTCAGAAAAGATGAGTAGGGAAAAAAATTTCAGTTTCCTCCACCTGTAAAACCATTCCTGTTTTGGGGGTTGTCTCATTGCTGCCCATCTAGTGCACCTGTTGTTAATTTAATTAACACCAAAGCAGCTGAAACTGATTAACAACCTTCTCTGCTACTTAACTGACCAGATCAATATCCCAGGAATTTATTTGACTTGATGCTCTGATTAAAAAGTGATCCTTTATTTTTTTTGAGCAGTGTACAATATGAACATAAAAATTTAAATCAATATATACATACACAATCAATACATAAAGAATTCATACAAAATATAAATAAATAAAGTTCCAAAATCAATCGTGAGAAGAAAGTACTCTGTGCTGCCAAACTTCATACAAAGTGCTTCCGTGCTCAGAAGGTACTCTTCAAAAAAACAAGCAAGCTTCTTACCAAAAAGAGATGATCTCAAGCTATAGAGCTCAAATAAGCATATGCGCATACCCCAAGACTGGCACTCTCTCCGACAAACCACTGAAGGGATAATTGCATTCACCGAAAAGGTTTAAGTCCCACCAGGATTCCACTCTCATCTCCAGTAAGCTCATCATAATGGTATAAAAGGATTGAGCAAGGAGAAGCCTCATAGTGCGGTATAATTAAAAACCATCTATTTATTAAATGTATGCACTTACATTCAGATGAATAAAACAGACAGTATACAGAGAATGGATCTCCAATCCCATAGGACGCCATTTTGGGGAAACTCGTTGGGCAGAGTCTTTGCATGGCATCATCATGTACTGGCATACGCCCTGAGATTGCGGCCGGACCCTTGCATATCGCTGTATTCACTTGATTGTAAGCACTTTGTATGACATTTTGCAGCACAGAGCACTTTCTTCTCACAACTGATTTTGGGACTTTATGTATGTTTATGTATTTATGTATTGATTTACATTTTTATGTTCATATTGTAGTTATATATTGACTGTGGGCTCTTTTACAGGGACACATATTATTGATTTGTTTGCATTTCATATATTTAAAGGGACAGCGCACTATGTATTGAGCATTCTTGCTTGTTATAGGTATATCTGTCAGTCTTGTAATGTATTTCTATAATTGTAATTGTTTCTATGTACAGCATTTTCATTTGGTAAAAGCACTTTAATACACTATGGAGGTCTACGTTTCCTTGCTTATAATGCAAAGTAACTTTTACTAGACACCAAGCAAAACAATCCTCAACCACTTATTGATCCTGCCAGTTTTTTTTATAGCCTCTGACTGCGGCACTAAAACTGCAGGTTGCTGTGCCAATTTATGGTATGTGTTCCAGTGTTGTTCCCTCAGTCCTGCAGTCATTGCAAAGCCCAACAGTGCTTTGAAAGCTGGCTAGGCAGTGTATATTGAGATTGGAGTAAACGTGGTCTGAAAAGAAGCCTGAAAATCGAAACCTCCGAGTCAGCAGTGACGTAACGGAAAATGGCAATACACTGCATCTTTCAGCACACCAACAGCCCCATCTTTTCAGAGACTTAGAACAGAATACAGTCACTTGATCACTAATTAAATCATAAACGTAAGTGCTGAGTAAATTGACGGCGCTATATAAGTACCTGAAATAAATAAAATAAATAAATAAATGAAATGTATGTTGGGCCAATTTGAGTAATCATAATACATATTGGGGTTGATTAAAGGCAAATATACCATTGACTTTGTAAGGGAGATTGCAAGAGAATTTGCCCCAGAATTTAGTGAATGTGGTGAAGTTTTACTTTACAAATAAAAACTAATCATGTGCAGGACAAATAAAATCATGTGCAGGGAAAATAATCAATCAAGTGCAGGGAAAATAAAAAAAACAGTTTTTTTGCTTGCACATGTTTGGAAGATGAAAGCTATTAGAGCCTCATTCACTAAGCTCTGGGGCAAATTCCCTTGCAAATTAAACAGTCTATTTCCCTTTAGTAAATCCACTCTACTATGTGCTTTATTTTTGCATGCAGTATACCCAGTATTCTTTCTGTGAGCAGGGTTTACATTTCTTTAAGAGCATATGAATTCCAGAATGTCAGAATTATTAATGTACTAAATTACTGTGCGGTGAAAAGGAAAATGAATATGACTGCAACACTTCCCTTGAAAATTCAAACATAAAATCCAGATTGAGTAGGAACGGGATTTGTAAGGTGCTTTCGCTATTGGCCGAAGCAAGAGTAATTAAAATACAATAATATTTATTACAAATCCATATAAAAAAATATAGAAAATTTCTCATAAGTGTTCTTTGTTGACAGCCTCTGTGATTAATATTAGCATTGGCAAAATCCTCTATGCATTTTCTTATACATGTTTTGCCGCACTTTAGGAAGTGCGCAAAAAGGAAACTAATAAAGGTCCAAAAAAAGTTTTTAAAAACTAATCAGATTATATACAGATTACATATTTCATATACATAAAGGGGCAAAAGACCCACCCTTATATCAACCATCCCATTCACAAACCAGCCCACACCAGAGAGGTGTCACTCACGGGCAGACTGATAACTCATGGGGCCCCCGGGCAATAGGGGATCATGGGGCCCCTGTGTCCTTGCCCAAACTCAAAAAAGCCTATGATAAAGGTACCAGGGGCATCTCATGGGGCCCCCTACTGACCCCAGGCCCTCGGGCAGTGCCGAGTTTCCAAATGGTCAGTCCGCCCCTGGTGTCACTATAGATGGCAACAAGTGTCAGCATGAGCCTGCTGGGAGTGTGGGATAGTCTATGGACCACCTCAAAGGAGGTATCCTATGAACATAATACACATTCATATTGTCATTAATCTCAATACTAAAGGGATGCAATCAAAGATGCATATTTCCTCGCTTATATGTTTATGATACTTACAAAGATATTTAATTAAGCAGTCCCATGGGGAGAGCCCACGTGTCACAAAACTGTACAAAAATATCTGTATAGATAAAAATAAAAGTAATAAATAGACCAATACTCTTAGGGCTGGTTCACACTAGATGCAGTCCAGTAGATTTTTTTCTGCATCAAAAATGCATGCCCAGTGTTTTCCTTTTATTGCAATGGCTCTAATTCACACCAGTTCAGTCAGTTTACGGTGCAGTAAAAAGGTAGGACATGCTGCATTTTTTTCTGAACCATACTGGAACATAGCAAACTGCATCAAAACTGCACCAGAAATGCATGTGGTGTGAACTGTAAGCAAAAACGTATCTGAAATGTATCCAGGGTGTGTTTTTTGTGGTGTGAACTGGCCCTTAGAGATACATCAACTACAAAAGGCCACATTACAGCTATAGGTATGTAAGGCGAGTTATGCGAGCGCTACTTTTAAAATTCCAGCTGCTAGGACACAAAAAGGTAACCGTAAACCCCCTAAGAACAAATAATTATAGAAATATGTGCAGCGCTGTTATAACAATTGTGCAAAAGGTGCTTGTTAAATGATGATAATATATTCCACCTCATACAAATATTCTAAAATGCAAATCACGCAGACAATATCTCAAAATTACACCATAGATACAATAAATAAAATATAAAGTGCAAAAAACGTATAAGACCACATATGAGTGGTCTATACCATGGTTTTGACCCTAATGTTATTGGCTTTTTTACGTTGGAACATGTCTCTGCTCACAAAAAAAGACATTTATAGGACTTTATCACAATTGGAAACTCGATAACTCTATTAGTTACAAACCCTTTTTATAGGTTGCTGTGATTCCAATGTCCCTACTGAGCCTTGGTTGGGATAATACACCCCAAAATACAGCAATCAACAATATTAAAAATGTATTTTTTTGTGATTTGTGATGTGTTTAATTAACATTTTCTATATATGTGTACTCTGTATATTTTTGTTTATCTGTATCAATCTGATAGATAATAGGGTTGCTTCTCCTCCTGGTGAACTGTGATTGGCCCACAGCTCACACATGGTACAAGGGCCAATCACAGCACCCTGTACCATGTGACCAGCTGGAGCCAATCATAGAACACTGTATTTTGAACTGTCATGAACTTAACCCATTGATGACAGTTCAAAGCAAGCATTGCATTGCAGGAACAATAACTTTTATTGCTCCTGCAATGCAAAGTGTAAAAGAAAAAAATAAATCCCTGATCACCCCCCAGAGTAGTACAATGTTACTATGGTAATATTGTACTACTCTGATGAAGGTATTTTTTAAAATAATAAAAAAAATGTTTAAATAATAAAATAAAGGCTTTTTTTTAACCACTTGCCCTCTGCCCACTGGCTCTGGGCAAAACGACGTACCCTTATGTTGCTTTCTATTTCTGAGGGTGAGCGCTGCGTGTGCCCTCCGCTGCCCCCCTAATGGTTCAGGGAGAGAACAGAGAACACCACACTTTGAATAAAAGCTCTACATTTTACACACACACATTAGATTAGCACATTTAAACCTTGTTCATACCTATTAACCCTTTGATCACCCCATCACCCAGCCACTGCCATTAGTTCAGTGTCAGTACATTGAATTTTTTACTGATCCGTGTATTACTGGCACTAGGGACATCAGATAGCATCAGGGTCAGTTAGAGCCCCTCCCAACCAGCATAATCTAGCGTTAGATTGCCCGCACTCATGCTATAGGTTACTGATCACGAACAGAACTATACTAGTGTCTCCTTAGTACGGTGTCCCCAAAAATGCAGTGTTAGCATGATCAGCCCCATTCACTGCCAGCACTAGCATTTAGCCCCTCCGCTGTTTTTCATAGATTTCTACCAATTGATTGTGGGCCAAAACGATTTATAGTCAACAATACATCACCATCCACCTAAATTCAGCTCTTGCTAGACAATTTGCATGGAAACCTATCATGGTTTTTGAATTTAAAATGTTTTTGGGATTAACCTTCAACATGGGTGTTACAAAAAAGAATAAATTGTGGTCATATTGGTCCACAGACCCGATTCATCATTTGCTCATGTTCTCTCCTGTTACATATATGCCCAACATGGACCAGCAACATACTGGTATGTCACTGGACTTTGAGTCGTTATACTAGGATGATGCCTGCAGCTAAAGGCATTATCCCAGTATAATTTTTTTCAGCTGGTGGTTGGCTTTCATGTATAAGCAATACTAGTGGCTAATTAGCTGCTGGATCATTTTTAAAAGCAGAGGGAAGGGACATTCCCCCCTCCTGCCGCCTTCCTTGGATTTCTCAAGCTCTCCCATCCCACAGGAGAATCTGAGAATGCAGCAGGCATGACTCCAATCATCTCTATGGTCTAAGACACAGGAAGCTACAAGCATTTCATCATTTTTGTTTCTCCGGATATTAACAGAGCTATTTTTTAAAGACCCCAGATTTCTCAGAAAAGAGTACCTGTCACTGCCTATTGCCATCACATGGGATATTTACATTCCCTGTGATAACAATAAAAGTGGACCAAAAAAAAGAAGAAAAGGACAGTGTAATAATAACAATAATAATAACAAAAATCACCCTCGTGTCAGTATGTAAACATATTGCACAATGCATGTGAGGTATCACCGTGAACGTCAGATTGAGGGCAGTAATTATAGCACTATACCTCCTGTCTAAATAAGCGGGGACCTGTAAAGGCTTTTAAAGCATTGCCTATTGATATTAAAAATGTACGTAGTTTGTCGCCATTGCACGGGCATGTGCAATTTTAAAGTATGTCTGTTTGCTATCTAGTTACTCAGTGCAACATCATCTTTTATATTTTATTAAACAGTTCAGCAATATTTTGTGTTTTTGTGCATTAAAATTAAAAATTTATTTCACAATGCATTTTTTGCAAAGAAAATTAGCGTTTGGAAAATTGCAGCGCAAATGTTGTGTGACATAATAAATTTCAACACTCACGTGGAGTCTGCTTTAAAACAAATATATAATGTTTGGGGGCTCAAAGTAGTTTTCTAGCAAAAAAACAGGTTTTTCATGTAAACAAAAAGTGTCAGAAAAGGCTCGGTCTTCAAGTGGTTGGAAGAGTGGGTGATGTGTGGCATAAGCTTCTAATGCTGGTCCTAAAATGCCAGGATAGTAGAAGCAACCCACCCCCCAAATGACCCCTTTTTGGAAAGTAGACACTCCAATGTATTTTTATCAGGGCGTGGTGAGTATTTAGGCAGATTTCATTTGTTGCCACAAGTTTTTGAAAAATGAAGAAATACAGCGAAAATATTTTTTTTCTCTTTCAAAACCCTGTGACAAAAATTATATCTGCAAAATACTCACCATACCTCTTATCAAATTCTTTGGGTGGGGTGTCTACTTTCCAAAAAGGGTTCAATTGGGGGGGAAGGGAGGGTGTTTGTACTATCCTGGCATTTTAGGGCCTCCGAAACTGTGATAGGCAGTGAGGAAGTGATATGGGGAAATATGCCTTTTGAAAGCCTAAAGGTGGTCATTGGATTTTGAGGACCTGTATGTAGTTAGGCTGCCAAAAAGTCTCTCACATGTGGTTTTCCCATACTTGGGAGAAGTAGCTGAGTGTGTTTTGGGGTGCTATTGCACATATGCCCATGGCATGCATGAGCCATATATAATTTAAGTTAGAACTGTAAATTTCCAAAAGTTTGTGGCAAAAAATAAAATCTTCCATGGACTCAACATGCCTCTCAGAAAATTCCTTGGGGTGTCTACCTTCTAAAAAAGGGGTAATTTGGGGTGTTTTTGTACTGTCTTGGCATTTTAGCACTTCATGAAATATGATAGGCAATCAGAAAGTAAAAGCTGCATAAATTTCAGTATATATACCATAGTTTGTAGATGCGATATCTTTCACACAAACCAATTAATATACACATAATGGGACTTTTTTTTTTACCATAGACATGTAGAAGAATACATTTTCGGCCTAAATTTATGACTAACTTTGAGTTTATTGGATATTTTTTATAACCAAAAGTAGAAAATATTGTTTTTTTTTCTGTCTTTTTTCATTTATATCACAAAAAAAAACCCCAGTGGTAATTAAATATCAGCAAAAGAAGGCTCAATTTGTGTGAAAAAAAGGACATAAATTTAGTTTGGGTACAGCATTGCTGTCAGGAATGGACTTGCCAATGGTGGTGGGACTCACCTGCCTTGTGGGCTGCAGTACCAGGGCTGGCCAGCGGGTTCTCTCAGCAACCAGAAGCTCATTCCTGCAGTCAGCCATCACCTGAGGCTTATTGCAGGAGGTGTATTTAAGGAATGGCCAGACCTGCAGTCAGTGCCTTGGTGTATGTTTCCCATGAGCCCCTGTACCTGCATCCTGTCTGCTTCCTGCCTGATTCCTGATTCTGCTTGATCCTGACCCTGAATGAACTCCGCCTGCCCTGACCTCGGCTATTACTGACCACTCTCCAGCCTGCTCCTTGGTACCTTGTTTGCTTGATTGTTCCTGACCCGGCCCGTCTGACTACGCTCTGCCTGCTCCTTTGTGTCTTGTCTGCCCGATGATTCCTGACCCGGCCCACCTGACCAACCCACCTCACCAGCCCTGACTGCTCTTATCTGTGTACATTCCGTTATCAGTTGGAGGTTTGGTTTTGTTATATTGTGCATTATATTTGTGTATAACCCTTAATAAATTATATTGTTACACCATACTTGAGCCTGCGTTTCCCTGTGTCAGTTTGCGCATCTCTGGTCTTACCGGGAGCCCTGACAATTGCATGACCACAGCGCCGAATAGCAAGAAATGGCTTGGTCATGAGGGGGGGGTAAATCTTCCGGAGCTGAAATGGTTAATTACTCCTGTTTTGGTCAATGGAAAAAGCACCTTAAAAATCCTGTTCTTGGTCAATCTGGATTTTATGTTAGCGTTATTAGTTGACCTTGCAAGGCTAAATGTTTCAAATATCACAGAGTTATCCATTATTCTTAATGAACAAATAACAATATTGTTCAGAAACCACCAATGGCATTAAAGTCAAAGTAAAGTACAGTATATTAGCGATCCAAAGAATAAGCTAATAATGACTCCTTTGGTATTTTTTCAAGACTTCTGCGTGATGCTGGTATAAGAGTACCAATCAACTCTAAATAATATTGGAATTAGAATGTCTGGAAGTACTGTATACTGGGGCTTGAACTATTGATTTCTCTAGGAAAAGCTACTGTTTTACTTTTAGTCTAAAGATTTTCCATTTCAAGTTTAATAATATAGCGAAAAAGTGTATTTAAGAAATTGTTGTAAATGTCTGTCTTATAAGTTTCAAATTCCATCACAGTGAAGAATGAGAAAGATATTGAACCTGAAATAATGTTAAACAAAGTTTTATATAAAACAACATTAGGTGTAGACAGTTGGAGAAACTGAAAGCACACAACAAATACCATATGTAAGTGGGGTCCTGTTTTGCTTCCAAAAATGACCATGCTGGCCAAGGGCTCCTTCCACCATCCTCCTGCTTAGGAACGAAATAGAGTACACACACCTGCAACATGAAGAAACTCCACCACCTTCAGACTCTTACATTCTTCCAGCCTGGGGCTCACCTCCCAAAATAGAACACAATGAACAGTTCTTTAACAAGTCAACCTTCAACAAGTCAACCACTGTCCAACTATCACAGTACCGAAATCCATAATTCTGCACAGTACAAGTCCAACAGCAACAGTGGATGGCCACCCAGCTTTTCCGTAGCCCTCACTTTAGGTCCCCCATAAGTGGTTTTCCACCTTTGCCTGTTACAGGCCTATGACAAAGGGTTCTCCTCCTGAGGCTACAGGCTTACATTGCAGGATACCAAGGATAGATTCTTCCCATCACCCTCTGCCCCAGGCTGTTGCAGCTCAAGATTATAAAGGACAGACTAGTCCCACCCACTATGTTTTCCTACGGCCCCATTCAAATGGCATGCACTCTGTCCTGATTAGCAGAGGATCCACTCATAGATCCCCTGCTGAACAGAGAAAAGTGGGCGCAAGATACATCAGTCTCTGTTCATTTTAGGAGGTGTGTGTGTGCAGCCCCATACAATGTGACAAACAGAGAGGGAAGGGGGGGAAGAGAGAGAGGGGAGAGAGAGAAAATAAAGAGAGAGGGGGGGGAGAGAAAGGGGGAGAAGAGAGAGGGAAGATAGAGAGAGAGGGAGGGAGAGAAGAGAGAAGTGAGAGAGAGAAGAGAGAGAGATGAAGAGAGAGAGAGAGAGGGGGAAGAGAGAGAGAGAAGGGGGAAGAGAGAGAGAGGAGATAGAGGAGAGAGGGAAGAGAGAGGGAATGAAGAGAGAGAGGGAATGAAGAGAGAGAGAAAAGGGGGGGGGGAGAGAGGGAGGAGGAGAGAGA